CGGTAGCGAACAGGTTTAATACGTAATCAAAGCCAAAGGGGAAATCCAAAATTGTAGTCGGAGGGCAGGCAAGAGGTCGGTGTCTGGGAGAGCCAGTCCTACGAGGAGAGACTGGACAGGACAACGAGGGGAAGGGAGGAACGAAGCGGATGGGGTAGCAGGGCAGGACGTAGCAGGCAGACAGGGTGGACAGGAGAAGGCAGGTCAATGGAGCAGGCGTGACAGGCAGGGCAGGCAGGACAGCAGGGCAGGACACAGCAGGTAGGGCAGTCGGGGAGAACAAAAGACAGAGAATCGCTTGTTAAGGCACATCAGAAATAATGGCAACAATACTCGGCACTGAGCCTCTGGGCTCGCCAGCTTAAGAAGTGGAGCAATTAGCCGACAATTGTTTGCAGGTGCTTGGTCCCGCCCGTGTGGGCGTGACAAAATGCTTTAGTTCATAAACAAATTCTTAGCAAATATAGATTTTCCTACGTTAGTCAGGCATGCCAGTATGAATTTACCTATTAAACTTTTCTGTCACATTTAGTTAAAAGCATTCCTTTAGGATACAAAAATTGCATTATAATGTATTTTTCTGTAGGAATAATTATGTAGACATGTTCAGGTATAATGTTATTTATTATGAATTGACCAAAAATGCATAATTTCCTGAATGAAAGGTCTTGCTTTATCATTTTTAGGTCTGAAGATTGCTGAACTTCCACCAAGATGCAGAACCCAGACAGAAACACCACCTACACAGACTTCATCTTAGTTAGTTTCTCTGGACCTCAGGAGTGGCGACAATTGCTCTTCATCCCTTTTCTACTAATTTTCTTAATTGCAGTTTCTGCAAACTTATTTCTGATGTTTATAATTCTGTCACAGAGGTCCCTGCACTCCCCCATGTACCTCCTAATATGTGCAATGGCCTTTGTAGATCTCTCTACACCAATTTTCTTTGTTCCAAACCTTTTAGTCAGTTTACTGTACAATCTGAGACACATCTCTCTACTGGGTTGTCTGGTACAGATGTTCTTTATGCATTTTTTTGGTGGCTTCCAGTCAACAGTTTTGCTGTGGATGGCTGTGGATCGTTACTATGCAATCTGTACTCCTCTGCACTACAATGACTACATGGCTTTCTCTGCTTTCCTTAAGTTCATAATTGCACCTGTGCTAAGAAACACTGTTTTCAACTTAGCCATTGTCAGCCTGGCTGGATCTTTGTCCTTCTGTCAGCATGAGATCGACCACTGTTTCTGTGAGCACATGGCTTTGGTTACGCTGGCCTGTGGAACCATACGCATGAATAATATTGTAGGACTCGTGGCTGCTTTCTTTGTCCCAACAGCTGATTTTTTGTTCATCGTTGCATCTTATGTTAGAATATTTTTCTCAGTGTTTAAGTCGGGGAAGTCCAGCCGAAAAGCTCTCAACACCTGCGTAACTCATATTATTGTCATAACTGTGAGTTTAATTTTGGCCTTATTTGCTTTTCTTTCCTACAGGATAAATTACAACTTGTCATCTAACAGTCACACTGTAATCAGTATCATGTATGTACTTTTCCCCAGTTGCTTCAACCCAATCATTTATGGTGTCAGAACAAAGGAAATTAGACAACAAATAATGAAAACTCTGAAGTGTGGAAAAGTCACCCCATGACACCGAACAAAATCTTACAGTGTACATATGTTGTCAGAAAGACCAAGTAACATTTTATGTGTTATGTGTGTGGCTTCAAATGTGAAAAAGTATTGTGTACAGAGAAACTGAAAAAAGAACTTTATTAGTGTAAAACAAGGTAACACTTTTCCATTTTTGTAATGATGATTACTACACCATGTAATCTTCTAATGATAAATTAAACTTCAGTGGTATCAGTGAAATTTTAACAAGTTGTGGTTTACTGGATACAACATCATGTCAGTAGTTTAACTGAAATACAATGTTAATTGGCCTTTTTAACTAAAGTTGTGTGTAACAACGCATTATGTAAGAATACCACATTGTGTAATAAATTACTTTGTATTGCAGTGGTTATTACAAAATGCGGGAGCTGCATTTTTTAATAATGAAAATGTAATTCTGTGCATTATGTAATAACAAAAATGGATGCCTTCCTTGGCACTTGGTCGAGTTATCACATAATGCGGTGTTATTACACAATATGTTGTTACATTGTATTGTAATAGTATTATATAATAAACTCCAAATAACTGTAAAACACGTAACTGGTGAAATGTTTTATCTCAGAGTAAATCTTGACTGTACTAACTTTGTCATGACCTACCCGTACGATCCTCCTGTGTGCCACGCCCCCTCATTAACCTCGTGTGAAACCCTGATTGTTCCCAGCTGTTTGATGTTATTTCCGACTTGTCCTGTGTATTTCAGTCCACGTTCGAGTACATTTCCCTAGGTTTGTCATTAATGTTGCCTGTGAGTTAAGTCTATTCCCCGTCAATAAACCCTGTTTGCCCATATTCACGGCTCCACTTGCTTGTTTGCCTGCTCGCCTGAAATGCGCCGTGACAAACATGGTTGAACTGGTCGGTGTTACCCAGTGGGAAGCTTAAGGTCGGCTTGTAAGTGCAGCTCTGACATTCAGCCTCCTCTCCTGTATGGAGGGACCCCCCAGTGTAAAATGGTTTTGCATGGTGGTGCTCAGGGACACAGAGAGAGATACAGGCCATGAAGAGCAGACACGTTTATCAATCCATATTATTAAATGACCACAATTCCAGTCTGGGATCACACATCACTGCAGGGGGGGGACCTGAAATGAGCCACCCAACACAGCGTCTTTCATATTTAAACTGATATTTCTTTAGAATCATTAAAAAGCACTTTAACAAAAAAATCTTAAATCACTACCAACATAAGTTTTTGTTGATAATTGAAAATCATTTATATTTTGAGACATTTCTGAGGGAGAATATCACTTTTTGTACTATTGATTTATGATAAATACAGATATTTTATATTCAGATTTTAAAATGTGATGTTTTTCAGCACCTATTTACATTAAAGAGGTTCTGAACAAACAGGGTCTATTTTAGCATGAATCACTGGCTAGTAATATCTCCCCAGTTCAGTTCACTAGGACTTTTTTTGGAGGCTGTGGTGAAACCTGAAGGATATCCATACAGACACCAGAGCCATTCTTGAATAAGCATTTTATCCCCCAATCTAATCAACTCTTTCCTTACTGGGTTTCTGGTGACCTTCAGGTCTTCCTCTACAATTACCAGACACACGCCCAGTTTAATCTTCAATTGACTGTGTTCAGCCCGTGTCAGTAATGACCTGTGACAGTGGTGCTCTATTGAGAGGGGGCCCTACACTCACAATTCCTTCTTCAGGCTAAACCAAGAATCACTCACACATACCTGAGTTCTCCATCAAATCGTACTTCATACTTATTTCACCTTTACTGGATTTTTGAAATGATGTTTACAGTAAAATATCACAAACGTAGTTTTTGACCATTGGTCACATCACGCCTGTACTGTAAGTGTCATATAAAGTCCTACTAGCATTAAACAAATTCCCTCCATCTCTTCATTTCCTGCTCTGCGGTGGTGTCCTCAGGGTGGGGGGGAATAGAAACCACACAGAGCTAAAAGACTGGAGAATATTACTTTTTTGGTGCAGTTATGGTAGTCAGATTGCACTCACAATACAATTATAATAATTTCCTTATCCTAATGGTTAACATGATATTTCATGCTCCTGAAATTGAAGTTTGCGCTCATTTTAAATATTAGTTATTTTAATACTAACTCATACAACTGTTTTGTATGTATAATTAGGTCAAGTAAACACATTTGATTCAAGAAAACACCCCAATAAAATCCCTCAGATCAACACCGTGTGATTAACAATGACACTTAGAGGATTGTGTTCTATCAGTTGAATCAGGCCTGAATAATTAGGAGTCTGGTTGGAGCTGAGCCCCCGGGAGATCCCTGAGCCTAAGCCTGGGAAACCCTGTGCAACTGTACATTGACTCTGCTGTGTCATGCAAAACCCCGGCCTGTAATTGTATGTGAATGTTACAGATCTGAAATCTGCTTGATCTTGTGGTTTTACTGTGAGATTGACACTTCTGTTACTTCAGTGAACCAGACAGCCATAAAATGACTCATTGTATATTTGCATTTAGTATTGTGTTGAATGTGAAGATGTTTACCATTCCTAAAGCTGACTGATAGCTTCAACTCCAAGTGAAGGTAGCTCAGGTTTAATTCTCTCAGGCCACAGAAGGGTTAAATTAAGAGTTAAGTTAAGTGGTCAGTCAACTCCTCAGAAAGTGGCAGCCTATGCAAATGCCTATGTCCCCTAAATGGTTCACTAGCACTGCACAAACCAGGTTCTTTTTCAATACATTCAAAATTGCTGCATTTTAGGAACTTTCTGCCGAACTTCTTGTAGAAGATGAGTTTATGAAACAGCTGAATTTTACGATTGTTTAGTGTGCTGATTTAAGAGCTCCCACACCCTGAGGTCCAATGACTGGGCTTTCTCTCTCCCTGCAGAATATCCTGCACCGTCCAGAATCGCATCTTTGGCCTGCTGTGGGCCTTGAGAATTACTCTGTGTTTACGTCAGTGAAAGTATATTTTTAATCAGAGGGCCTGCATCTCATCAGGGGAATATGGAGCAGTGGATTTAAGGAGCCGGGGACAGGAGCAGGTGGAGTACTGAGCGTCAGAAGCAGAGGAACGTTCTACCAACCACTTACTCAGCCTGGATTCTCTGGCAGCTTCTACAAGCGATTACACCACATATATAAAGTACTTTTGCTCATTTCTTCATTGTTTTGTGAATGACTGTAAGATGTTTTAATGTGCAGTTCCAATTTTGACTTAAACTGAGAAAAATTTATACAAATTATGTAATTGCATCTTTAATTTAATAACATTTAAAATATATATTTCTCAAGAAAAATATCAGTCAAAAGCCTTGCTTTCTTCTCTCCAGGTGTCTCTGCTGAAGGTTCCATCGAGATGTACGAAGAACCAGACAGAAACACCACCTACACAGACTTCATCTTAGTTAGTTTCTCTGGACCTCAGGAGTGGAGACAACTGCTCTTCATCCCTTTTCTGTTCATGTTCCTAATTTCACTTGTTGGAAATTTATTTCTGATTTTTATAATTCTGTCACAGAGGTCCCTGCACTCTCCCATGTACCTCCTAATATGTGCAATGGCCTTTGTAGATCTCACTACACCAATTTTCTTTGTTCCAAAACTGCTAGTCAGTTTACTGTACAATCTGAGACACATCTCTCTGCTGGGCTGTCTGGTACAGATGTTCTTTATACATTTCATTGGTACCTTCCACTCAACTATTTTGATGTGGATGGCTGTGGATCGTTACTATGCAATCTGTACTCCTCTGCGCTACAATGACTACATGGCTTTCTCTGCTTTCCTTAAGTTCATAATTGTTCCTTCAGTCAGGAATGCTGTTCTTATTTTAAGTATAGTCAGCCTGGCTGGATCTCTGTCCTTCTGCCAGCATGAGATCGACCACTGTTTCTGTGAGCACATGGCATTGGTCACAATGGCCTGTGGGACCATACGCATGAATAATATTGTAGGACTCATGACTGTTTTCTTTGTCCCGACGGCTGATTTTCTGTTAATCGCTGCATCTTATTTTAAAATATTTCTGTCAGTGTTTAAGTCGGGGAAGTCCAGCCGAAAAGCTCTCAGCACCTGCGTAACTCATATCATCGTCATAACTGTGAGTTTAATTTTTACTTTAACTGCATTTCTTTCCTACAGGATAAAGAATGACATGTCGTCTAACAGTCGCACTGTAATCAGTATCATGTATTTACTTTTTCCCAGTTGTTTCAACCCGATCATTTATGGTGTCAGAACAAAGGAAATTAGACAACAAGTAATGAAAACTCTGAAGTGCGGAAAAGTCGTCCCATGACACCGAACGAAAATCTCCAGTGTAAAATGAACAAGGTAACACTTACATGTCATGTGTGGGCAGAGCCTTAGGCAGATATGAGGTCCGGACCTCAGTCATTTTTTAAGAGCTAAAAATAAAATTTGAAGCTAAATATTCACCTGAATATAAAATTAACTAACATTTCACATTACTAATTAATTTTAAAAATAAGCAGTTAATAAAGGGGACGGTATCAATAATATGATTGACGAGACCTGGTTAAGACCTGGGGGCTTAAATGTGAGACAGTATTAAGTGTACAGAGAGACACAGGAACAGAAAAAATAGCATTTAATGCTTCATTTGTGTGTAACTAATGAACACATTTCCATTTTTTGTAATTGCCGTAAATTCTTTAAGAAAGTTAGGAAGTCTTTAAAAAATGTGTTCATTTTTAAATAAAAAGTGCCACATATATATAGTTACGATAACCAATTTAATGACATATTTTAAGGTCCCCGAACAATAGCGTTAAATGCCCCTTTGAAGGTGATGTGTAGCTCAGAGGATCAGGAATCTATGCCCAGGTTCTGAAGCTCATGAGCTGAAGGCCTGTAGCCAGCACAGAAATTTCATGACTGTTGGGCTCTTAACCCCAAATGCTCCAGGGCGCTGGATGCTGGCTGACCCTGTACCCTCACTCCAGTGGCGGTTGTATATACTCCTGCCTTTCCAAGGGAGAGTAAGATGGGATACTCAACAGCTACCAGATTTCCTCACAGAGATGAGTAATCTATTACTATTCTATTGTATTCTAATTTTAACAGCTGGTTTTGATTAACCTAAATAGTGACTTGCAGTATTGTTGTTGTCACGCCCGGCTCGTCTGATCCTCCTGTGTGCCACGCTCCCTCGTTAAACTCGTGTGAAATCCCTACGTTTACCAGCTGTTCTTTGTTTCCTGCCATTAGTCCTGTGTATTTCAGTCCGCGTTCGAGTATGTGTCCCCGGTCCAGTCATTGACATTGCGTGTTTCCTGTGTCCCTGGAAGGATTGATTCTGAATAAACCTCTCATTCCCTGATCCTGCGACTCCAGTTTATGTTTCCCGGCTCCGTGCTCAGGCCTAGCAGTGACAGTTGTATGTGTACAGCAAAAACATACTGAATAATTTATTCTCACATAGCCATAAAAATCATTAATCTTATTATTCAACATAATTACACCAATAGCTTTTGACCCTGAATAGGACAAGCAGGCACAGAAAATGGATTGATGGATGGATGGATGGATGGAAGGATGGATGGATGGATGGATTGGTCACATCACACCTATAAGTGTCACATACAGTCTGACTAGCATTAGACAAATTCCCTCCATCTCCTCATTTCCTGCTCTGTGGTGGTGTCCTCTGGGGGAGAATAGAAACCAGACAAAGCTGAAAGACTGAAGAGTAACCTCCTGAGACCCCACCCATTCATTTATGTGCATTGTAGTGGACATTTTGTTTCTGCATCTATCTTTTCACTGATGTAAGAATTTATTGAATTTATTCCTGTTGTACACTAAAGAGGACATGCTGCGAAATTAAAAATAAAAACAAATTTGTAAAAAACTACATGGTAAGATGTCTTATTTCCTCCAAAGACAAATATCCTAAAATTGAAGGACACTTTTTTCCTTGGGTCTCAGGAGGATATCACTTTTTTGGTGTTGGTGTGGTAGTCAGCTTCCACTCACAATACAATTATAATAATTTCCTTTACCCAATGGTTAACATGATATTTCATGCTCCTGAAATTGAAGTTTGCCCTCATTTAAAATATTAGTGTGATTTGAATACTCATAGAACTGTTCCATATGTATAGTTAGGTCAACTAAATACATTTGACTCAACAAAACATCCCCATAATCGAAGGTTGTTGTACAGATTTCACTGTACTAGCCAAACATTGCAACAAGGACTTGGAGACCCTGTTCATCAACTGCAAACCATTTTATTCACCCTGGGAGTTCTCCTCCTTCATCCTGGTCGGTGTGTACGTTCCACCTCAGGCCAGCTTGAAGGATGCACTGCAAACCCTGGTCAAGCAGATATCCAGCCAGTAACAGAAGCACTCAGACTCCCTCTTCATCATCCTTGGGGACTTCAACAGAGCTAAATTAAACCATGAACTACCAAAATACAGACAGCATATGGGACAATAAAACACCAGGGACAATAAAACATTGGACCACTGCTACACAGTCCTTAAAGATGCATATCGCTCTGTTCCTCGGGCAGCTCTAGGGCACTCTGATCACTGTCTGGTCCATCTCATCCCGACATACAGGCAGAAACTGAAATCGGCTAATCCTGTGGTCAAGACAATAAAGAAATGGACTAATGAGGCAAAGCAGGAACTACAGGACTGCTTTGACTGCACTGACTGGAGCATTTTTAGAGCTGCAACCAACAACCTGGACGATTGGTCTGACACTGTGATGTCATATATCAGTTTCTGTGAAGACACATGTGCCCCTTCCAAGACCTAACGCAAATTCAACAACAACAAGCTATGGTTCACAGTAAGTCTACATCAAAATCATTGCAGATCCGTCACACCCTGGACACAATCTTTTCCAGCTTCTCCTCTCTGGAAGGCACTACAGAACTCTGTATACCAAAGACCCCGACCACCAGACATACAGTAGGAGCAGCTTCTTCCCTCAGGCCATCACCCTCAAAAACAGCTAAGCTGTGTCACCTGCCTTCTGTTTGCATTCAACCTCGCACCAGTGTTGCCAACTTAGTGACTTTGTCGCTATATTTAGCGAGTTTTTAGACCCCTCTAACGACTCGTTTTCAAAAAAGCGACTAGCGACAAATCTAGCAACTTTTTCTGGTTTTACTGAAGACTTTTGGAGACTCTGACGTGAAAGCACGTATCGTCCTTACTCTTCTCACCGGGCAGCGGGTGCAGCCGTGGGCTCCTCTCCCGTCCCAAAGCACTCACAGGCGGCCAGTCCGCCCGCAGCAGCCCCGCCCAGCTGCAGTCACAGCAGGAGATGTGCATCATTTTCTCACATTGCCATTGACAGTTTTTTTCAATCGTCCTTTTCTGGTCCGTTTAGATTGTTAATGTAGATTTTATACAAAAAATGTTATGGTTAAAAATGTTAACGGTTCATTTGTTTACTGTGACTTGTACACTTAAGCAAACTTAAAAAAGTAACTCCGCCAGAGTGTCTCTTTGGGGTCGAGGGGGGGGGGCGGGGTTTGCTAAGTCGGTGCCCATTCAGAAGACGCTGCCTGGGAAGTTACCCATCTTGCCCCTGCCAGGATCTGGCTTGCTGTATCATATTGCACTGCCGATGTAAGTAACAGTATTAGCATGTGGTGGTGACATGAAGCTGTCATCTATAATGCACTATAGATACCTTCATAATGCATTATAATGCTCGGTATAAGAATTAATAAAGCATTACAGCATCTGCCATTGAAGGACATTAAGCATTGTAGTGTTGATTATAATACTTCATAATCTCTAATGAAGCTCTCATCTATACTATACTGTAATTACCTTCATAATGCATTATAATGGTTGGTATAAGTAAGGGTGCTTTTCACTGCATCATGAAGGTATCTATAGTGCAATATGGATGAGAGCGTCATAAGGTAGTCGTAATACATAATGAACATGGCTATAATTTGTTATGCCTTTTAATAAATATGTATAGCCATGTTTATAATGCTTTATGAATGCATTATAATGTGTTATAAATGTGTTCATAGATTCTTAAAGACATGGCATTCATAGAAAGTGTTAACCATATGGCCTGTATATGGTGTATGAAAGTCTTGCACTGTGATTTGAGGAGATCAACGTGTAATAACAAAACAGCAAAGGGTCAGTCAGTACAGTAGTTTTCATTCTTAAAGGGGTTGGGGGGGCGGTGAGGCAGTGTACTATCAGGAGCCTGTGGGCCTAGCGATGGTAGATGGAGCTCAGCATTGCAGCAGCTCCTGAGCATCCTCCAGAGGTAGCTCGTCAATGTCCTCAAAGTCTGGCATCTCTAGGCCAGTGGTGTGTGCAACTGTCTTCATTGTGTGTTTCTTGGTCAGCAGCAGAACAACTGGAGTCCCAGGCTGTAATACAGTGCATCGAGATTCACTGTGTGTTGTACCTATTGAAGTCCACCATGAGTTGTTGAAGCAGATGGGCTCTCAATCTGCTTAATTTAAGATCTTTCTGCGTAAGATGTCACTTTGTGAAATTGCTTAGAGGGCTGATTTATGAGCACCCACACCCAGAACAATAACTGTTCCTGGTCCTGAATCACTTAAGCTCATGTGCAGGGCAGCTGTTGTTTTGTTCTTAGGTTTCTGTGAATCTCCTGATTTTGTGTTTCAGCAGCACTTCCAACTTCTGGGTCCTGGTTCCTGTTCCTGGCTTCCTAGTCCTCTGGTGTGCCAGAGAATCCAGAGGATCCCTGACAGAGGGCCTTGAGAATTACTCTGTGTTTACGTCAGTGAAGGTATATCTTTAATCAGAGA